CGCCCCCCTGCCCCTCCGCCTCCCCGGCCGCCTGAGCCCCGCCCCCACCTGCTCTGCCAGGGGGACCCGTACCTGCGCACCGCTCATGGCATCTTCATCTGCTACTGGGACGGCACAGTTCACTACTTCCTCTACCTGGCCATGGCAGGTGCCATCCGCAAAAGGTACGGGCCGGGGGCGGGGCCAGGGAGGCCAGCCAGGGGGCGGGGCCAGGGAGGCCAACCGGGGGCGGGGCCAGGGAGGCCAACCGGGGGCGGGGCCAGGGAGGCCAGCCGGGGGGCGGGGCCAGGGAGGCCAGCAGGGGGCGGGGCCAGGGAGGCCAACCGGGGCGGGGCCAGGGAGGCCAGCAGGGGGCTCTTGGGCTCCTGCGTCTTCCTATGCTGCACTCCCAGGCCACGCTGGAGTGGCAGGTGACCCCTGTAAGGGCTCCAGGAGGGAGGTGCAGGGACTGTGGTCAGGAGTAAGATGTGGCCCCTGGCCTTGGCTCCTATCCCTCTCTGTTCCCGCTCACATTCAACTCCCTGTCGCCCCTCCCCGTGCTGGGGGAAAGCAAGCAGAGAGGGCTACCCGGAGCTGGGGAGCCCCTGGGGGGAGGGGACCGGGATGGGTGCCTGCTGGTCACCCTCAGTCCCCGCCCACCTCCCCCAGGAAGAGATACCGGAACCTTGGGCTGTACTGGCTGGGCTCCTTTGCCATGAGCATCCTGGTGTTCCTCCCCGGGAACATTCTTGGTAAGGAGTCAGCCCTGGGGCGCCTCGTGCCCGCTCCGCTGGGCCGAGTGAGACCCTCGCCCTCCGTCACCCGGCAGGCAAATACAGCTCAGAGATCAGACCCGCCTTCTTTCTCGCCATCCCCTACATGCTAGTCCCGTGCTGGGCCGGCATGAGGGTCTTCAACCAGCCCCGGGCGCCCACCAGCTGCACCCCTGAGGTGGTGAGCGCCTTGCCCCCCCCCCGTGCCCGCCTCCCCTTTCTCCCCCTCCCCCGTGCCTAAAGCGCATCTCCAGTGTCCTTGGGCGTTTGGAAAAGAGGGAAGAACGTTTACGGAACGCCTGCCGGATGCCGGGGCTCTCACTCCGGCGCTGTCTCCCGCGGGGCAGGTGCAGACGGAGCAGAGGAAGAACCTCCTGCAGCGCCCGGCTGACCTGGCCCTCGTCACCTACCTCGTCCTGGCTGGGTTTTTCACCTTCTTCCGCGGCCTGGTGCGTCCGGCCCGTCCCCAGCCCGTCCAGTGCGCATGCGCATTCCTTTATCTGTTGCAAAAAGGTCTATTGATCGCCCAAGCCTGCCCTGGGGGAGGGGATCCCATGGCCAAGCCCCCACTTCCCTGCAGCCCCAAAGCTGTGCACCCCCAGCCAGAGAGACAGCCGGGAGGGGCTACAGCCAGGAATGTGGGCCCTGCGTGGGGCTGGGGGGCGCACTTCCTACTGGAGAGAGGAGTGAGGCGGGCCGATGGCTCACCTGTGTCTGGTCCCAGGTGGTGCTGGACTGTCCCACGGATGCCTGCTTTGTTTACATCTATCAGTATGAGCCGTACCTGCGGGACCCTGTGGCCTACCCAAAGGTGCAGGTAAGAGGGCGGGTGGGAGGAGAGGGCCGTCTTCCTGCTGTGGGGAGGAGCCCGCTTTGAAGCAGGAGCCAGGATCGCAAGTCAGTCTGCCAGCAGCACAAAGAGAATTTATTGTCCTACAAAAAGAGAGAGAGAGAGAGAGAGAGAGAGAGAGAGAGAGAGAGACAGGTGTGGCCTTCAGGTATGGCTGGATCCAGGAGTTCCTGGCTGGCTCTGTTGTGTGCCTTGACACCAGTTCCTTGTGTGTGTGTGTGTGTGTGTGTTGGGAGGGGCACAGACCAGGCTCAGGCCTCCATGCACCCCACCCAGCCATCTCAGAGGCACCCGAACCTCAGAGTTTAAAGTACAAGTCTCAGGCAGGCTCTGATTGATCCAGCCCAAATCGCACGTTCATCCTCTCTATCTGCCAATCATATGGCTAGAGGCCCGGGGTGTTCTGATTGGCCAAGCCAGGGTCGTATGCAAATTCTGGATGTGGGGGGTGGGATGGGAGCGGGGCAGGGATCCCCAAGGGTAGCAGGAGGACCCTCGCAGCTTGCGGGGGAGGGGGAGTCCCGGGAGAGCCAGCCGCAGGGGGCTGTCCGTCTCCCCTGCAGATGCTGCTCTACATGTTTTACGTCCTCCCCTTCTACGGCCTGGCCGTCTACGCACTCACCTTCCCGGGCTGCTCCTGGCTGCCCGACTGGGCGCTGGTGTTTGCTGGAGCCGTGGGCCAGGTGAGGCGGGGAGCGAGGCGGTGGATGAATGGGCAGGCACGTAGGGGGGCGGTGCTGTGTGTCTGATATGCCCCTCGCCCCCAGAAAAAGGCCTTAGCCTCACGCCTGGCACCCCAGGATCCCTTGGCCTGGGGGAGAGCGAGCCAGACACAGACACCCCCGTCCCGGCCGTGTGCGCTCAGAGCTGGGAAGAAGCGGGGCCAGGGGCTGAGAGCCCAGGGGCTGAGAGCCCGGAGGCTGGGAGTTTCCTGGAAGAGCTGGGTTGTGACGGGCGGGGCTGGGTGCTCCAGGGAGGAAAGTGCATTCTGGGAATGGGAACAGCACAGGGGAAGGCCGGATGCCGCGGGCTTTGCATTCGGGACTTGCGGGCTCGTGCCGAGGGCAGTGGGGAGCCATGGGAGGTGCTGGAGCAGTGGAGGGCCCGGTCAGAGCTGCTGGGGGCCTGTTTGGGGTTTCTTGATGGGACATGATAAGGCCTGGGTGTACAGGGTGGGCGTTTTGGCTTGGTGGTCCAGACACCACCAGATGCGATGCCTGCATCCGGGGCTGGAGTTGTGGCCTCGTGGGTTCAGCCGCTACTTGCGATCCCACACTGGAACATCGGTTCGAGTCCCGGCTGCTCCACTTCCAATCCAGCTCCCTGCTAGTGCCCCTGAGAAAGCAGCAGAGGATGGCCCAAGTGCTTGGGCCCCTGCCAGCCTCGTGGGAAACCCGGATGGAGCTCCTGGCTCCCGGCTTTGGCCTGGGCGAGAGCCCTGGCTGTTGCAGCCATTTGGGGAGTGAACCAGTGGATGGAAGACCCCCCCATCTCTCTGTCTCTCTCCTGTCCCCTAAGTCTGCCTTTGAAATAAATTAAAAAAGGCAGCTACAACCCAGGCCCACCAGGGGGCAGTAGAGACCAGGCGGGCATCCCTGGGCTGGGCGGGACAGCAGACCCTAAAGGTGGGGCTGTGCGTGGGCGGCCGGGCGGGGCCTGTGTGTGGAGCACGGAGCCCGGGGGCCCGGGGGCCCGGGGGCAGCAGCGCGGGACCTCCGTGCCCTCTCGGCCCCAGGCGCAGTTCTCACACATGGGCGCTTCCATGCACCTGCGCACACCTTTCACCTACCGCGTGCCCGAGGACGCCGGCACCTGCTTCTTCGTGTGCAACCTGCTCTACGCGCTCGGCCCCCACCTGCTGGCCTACCGCTGCCTGCGGCGGCCGGCCTTCTTCCTGCACCCGCCGCCCCCCGCGCCCCCGGGCCCTCACAAGAAGCAGCTTTAAGGGGGCGGGCGGGGGCTCCCCGGGACTCTGTCTACACGCCCGGCCGGCCCTGCCCTGCGAGGGCGGCTTGGGTGTTCCAGAGGCCGGAGAGCCGGCCAGCCTGGCTCGGATCGGGAGACCGCCAGCCTGGCTCGGCTGCCACCACGCCCCAGCCCCCGCATGGGGGGCTTCTTCTGCCCTTCCCAGAATTTGCCCGCCACTCCCCCGTGGATCCCTTGAAGTAAAAACCGTTTTTGATGTCCGCAGTGTTGCCGCCTGAGTGTTTCAGGGTACAGGGGTGAGGGCCCCTCTTCTTGGACCCAGTGAGGAACTGGGGGTGGGCGGGGGCAGGACAACAGAAGTCTGCCCCCTGGTGGGTGTGTCCAGCTCCAGCTTCCGGATGGGGCAGCTGAGGCTGTCAATGGGCAAACTGGGGGCTGGCGCTGTGGTGTAGCAGGGTTAAGCTTCCGCCTGCAGTGCGGGCATCCCATGTGGGCACCGGTTCGAGTCCCGGCTGCTCCTCTTCCGGTCCGGCTCTCTGCTGTGGCCTGGGAAAGCAGTGGGGGATGGCCCAAGTCCTGGGGCGTCTGCACCTGCGTGGGAAACTCTGGCTCCTGGCTTCCGATTGGCCGGCTATTGTGGCCATCTGGGGACTGAACCAAAGGATGAAAATCAGTCTCTCTCTCTCTCTGTCTCCCCCTCCCCCACCCTGTGCCAAGCATTTGGCACAGTTAAGACACTGCTAACAGCTTGGATGCCCGCATCCCGGATCTGAGTGCTGGATTCGAGTCCTGCATGTGATGACTCAGATCCTTGGGTCCCTGCACCCACGTGGGAGACCTGGACCTGACTTGCAAGCACTTGGAGAGTGGCCCAGTATGGACAGGGGCTCTCTCCACACCTGCTTCTGTCGGCCTCTTTCCCCCTGCCTGTCTAGTAACATGAAAGCAAACAAATAAAATACGTAAGGATGGACAAGAGACCATCGGAGAGAAAAGTCCCGACTAGGCACCACTGTATACCACGCTGAGTGCTAACCACATACTCGCCCATACCCCAGGTGGGACAACTGAGGCTACAGGAGGTGGTCGGAGGCAGCACCTCGCCAGGGGCCGCTGAGCTAGGGAGCTGGGGGTCTCCCAGCTTGCTGGCCCCCACCAAACCCGCAACCCTGTCTGGCCTGTGTGGTTGGCACGGGTTCATCTGGAGGAAAAACAGGCTGGGGAAGTAGCCGAGGTGGTCGGGGGTGGGATGAAAAACCGCGTCCAGGTTTTTTATTTTAGAAATTGGGTGCAGGGCCGACACAGGGTGTCCCGATGAGAGACTCCAGGTCCCATCGCCTCTCCCCATTTTAAAGATGTACTGAGGCTCAGATGGGCCGGCCAGCAGTGACGACGGAGGCCCAGGGCCCACCCTCCCGCGGCTGCGCGCCGCTCCGCACGCGTTCCCTTTAACGCCCCCCTCCCCCCACCGGCGCGCCTCCCTCCTCCCCTTGCAGGCAGACTCCGGGATTGCGCTTCCCGCAGGGACCTGCCCAGTCCTTTCTGGGAGTGCGGGGAACGCAGTCCCGGCGCGTGGGGGCCGCGCGGGCAGGATGGTGAGTGGGGGGTGCGGGCGCGGGTCCCAGGCAGGTGCATCCTTTGGTCTCCCGGATCTGGGATTCTCTCAATTTCCCGTCCCCTCCGAATTTCTCTCTCTCTCTCGCCTTTCCGTTCGCTCTCACCCTGCGTTCTCTGCCTCTTTTTATGCCGGGGGAGGGGGGGGGAGAGGTTCCCCCCACCCCCGTGTCTCCCTTCCCCAAACTCTGCTTCTCTATCCCTTCTTTAACTCCTCTGTCTGTCCCTGTCTGCCTCTCTCTTGCCTCCCCCTCTGCTGCGTCTCTCTCCCTCTCCATCTCTCCCCGTCTGCCTTTCCCTCCGTCCCTGTCCTCGTCCTCTCCGTGTCCCCAGCCCCCCCCCCCCTCCAGCCGCTTGCTGCAGTCTCCTGGCGCACGGATAACCTTGCTGCTGCCGCCGCTGCTCCACTTCTACCCCCCCCCCCCCATGCAAGCCCAGGCTGGGCCGGGAAGAGGCCGCGGCAGCGGGCTCCGAGCCACCAGTGGAGAGAGGATGGCGGGGTTAGGCGGGATCCCCCGGGGCAGGACCCAGGGGCGTGAGTTCAGGGCCATGTGCCAGGCTTCTCCGGGAGGGAGCCCTCTGGGCCCCTGGCTTGGGGTGGGGGCCCCGGAGCGCAGGGATGGAGAGCCAGAGAGGCTGGACTGAGCGCGCCCTGTGCCCCAGGTGTGCGCTCGGGCGGCCCTTGGTCCCTGCCTGCTCTGGGCTGCGGCGTGCGGCGTCTTGCTGCTCAGCGCCCAGGCGGGGGCGCAGCGTGGCCGGAAGAAGGTCGTGCACGTGCTGGGTGAGTTGAGCCCCCGGGAGTGGACTTGCCCTTAAAGGAACCTGAACAAAAAGCAGCCTCCCCGGGGGCGGGGTGGGTGGTCACGGTCCACGGTCCCCAGCCCCTCCCCACGGAGCCCTGCCCCTGTCCTCCATCCACGACTTCTCGCGACCCCAGCCCCCCTCTCTGAACCCTCTTTGGTCACCCGCAGAGGGTGAGTCCGGCTCCGTGGTGGTCCAGACGGCGCCCGGGCAGGTGGTGAGCCACCGCGGGGGCACCATCGTCCTGCCCTGCCGCTACCACTACGAGGCCGCCGCCCACGGCCATGACGGCGTCCGCCTCAAGTGGACGAAGGTCGTGGACCCGCTGGCCTTCACGGACGTCTTCGTGGCGCTGGGCCCCCAGCACCGGGCCTTCGGCAGCTACCGTGGGCGGGCCGAGCTGCAGAACGAGGGGCCCGGGGACGCCTCCCTGGTGCTCCGCAATGTCACCCTGCAGGACTACGGGCGCTACGAGTGTGAGGTCACCAATGAGCTGGAGGACGACGCAGGCATGGTCAAGCTGGACCTGGAAGGTGACCCGCCCGTGGGGGAGAGGGGCTTCAAGGGGGCAGAACCCACATCACTCATGCCCAGGGTCGCTGACTGGCTGGGGCTATGGTAGGTTAGGTCGGGGCTGCCACTGGCTTTGAGTGAGTGGACGCCAAGATGGGTTCAGCAAAACCATCCTACAAGGCACAGGACAGCCAATCCCCTGCAGAGAGAATGGACCAGTCCAAAACAGCTGCCCCCTCATCCCTGTTTCCTGAGTGGGCTCTCCTTGGCCAGGTTCCCCACCCCCGTAGGGAACAAAAACCTAAACGCCAGACTCTGCCTTCCCAGCTTAGCAACCAATTTCCTCAGAGCAGCAGCAAGAGTCCCAGAGTAGAATCTCATTGGCCCAGCTCAGGTCCCGTGAGCCAATCAGTGTGGCCGGGCAGAGGGGACGCTCTGATTGGCTGACAGTGAAACGGGGAGGTGTGGTTTCCCACAGAGGAATTAAAGACCGGCCGAGAGCTCTGTGGACCCGCACTGGCTGAACTTCCTAGCAGTAGCCAATAATGCCAATTAAGAGGAGCAGGGTGTTTTCTCTGTGGGAGGCATTCAGCTGAAGAGCTCCCTGGAGTGTCTCATTTAATTTCCGCAGATTTCCAGAGACACAGCTATTACCAGCCGACGGGCAGCTAGCAGGGAGATGGGAGCCCTGCTTGCCCAGGGGTGCTCAGAGCCGGGATGTGGTCCATATCTGTCCAGCTCCAGGTCCTCTCCCAGCCCCTGCCTGCCTCCCTCCTGGGTCAGCTCAGCATACCCGGCTCACCCCCAAGACCTGCCCCTCCAACACAGACTCCCGAAAAGCTTTCTTGTTTGAAAGGCAGAGGTACAGAGAGCGTGTCCATCCAGTGGTTCACTCCCATAATGGCCAGGTCTGGGCCAGGTTGGAGCCAGGAGCTTCCTCCACGTGGCTTCCCCAGGGCCCGAGCACTTGGGCCCTCGTCCGCTGCTTTCCCAGGCGCATTAGCAGGGAGCTGGTTCGGAAGTGGAGCAGCCGGGCCTCGAACCGGCGCCCGTACGGGATGCTGGCGCTGCAGGTGGCCGTTTAACCTGCTGTGCCACAGCACTGTGCTGACCCGCCCCCCCCCCCAAAAAAAGGCTTTTGAGCTAAGTGGACTGTGTGTCCACTGAGGGGGGCCAATTCCAGAGAGAACAGAGGTGGGCGAGAAGTGACCGGGTACTACCTCAGACAATGCTTCAGGGATGCCAGTGGACCGGGGGGCTCCGGGCCTGGGGGATGCAGACATTCCCAGCTCCGTGGGCTTAGCACGGGCCCAACGGGAAGAGTTCGGTGAGGACGGACTGTCAGAGGACTGGACGGAAAAGGGTTTGGAGGCTGGGTTTTGAAGGTTGAATAGGAGTTCAGCAGGTGGAAAAGACCTCCATCCGGCGTGCCAAGGGGACGGGATGGAAGGGAGCCCCGCGAGTGGGCTGAGTGGGCCATGGCTGGGCCGGCGGTGGGCATGCAGTTCCCAGGCTGACCCCCGGCGCTGCCCTACAGGCGTGGTCTTCCCCTACCACCCCCGCGGGGGCCGCTACCAGCTGACGTTCCCGGAGGCGCAGCGGGCGTGCGCCGACCAGGACGGCATCCTGGCGTCCGCAGAGCAGCTGCACGCGGCCTGGCGCGACGGCCTGGACTGGTGCAACGCGGGCTGGCTGCGCGACGGCTCGGTGCAGTACCCGGTGAGCCGGCCGCGGGAGCCCTGCGGCGGCGGGAGCGGCGGCGGGAACGGCGGCGGCGGCGGCGTGCGCAACTACGGCTACCGCCATAACGCCGAGGAGCGCTACGACGCCTTCTGCTTCACGTCCAACCTCCCGGGTGCGTGGCCGCGCCCCAGGCGCGTGGTAACCCCGCAGGTGCGATGGCCACGCCCCAGACGCGAGGCCCCGCCCGAGGCGCTTAGACCACGCCCACAGTGCAAGGCTGTGCCCCAGGCGCATAGGCCCCGCCCCAGGCACGAGGCCCCGCCCACACGCGTTGTAACCCCACAGGTGCGATGGCCCCGCCCCAGCCTCGAGGCCCCACCCACAGGCGCGTCGGCCCCGCCCCAGAACCACAGGGCTAACTCACAGGCGCGTAGGCCCCGCCCCAGGAGCAAGGCCCCGTCCACAGGCGCGTAGGCTCTGCCCCCCCCGCGTAGGCCCCGCCCACAGGCAGTCCGTCTTGCCCCCTGATGTAGGCCGTGTCCCAGGTGTTTAGGCTCCGCCCACAGGCTGTAGGCCCCACCCCCAGAAGGCCTTGGTCCCGCCCCCGACCTTTCGTGTTCTCCAATCCGCGGGGAGGCGCGTGTCCCGGGCTGGGGGCCGGGGTGGGAGTCTGGGCTGCAGGCAGGGGGCGGGGTACGGCGTCGCGCATCCCGAGATCCTCACCCTCGCCCTCCCCCTGCAGGGCGCGTGTTCTTCCTGAAGCCGCTGCGGCCCGTGCCCTTCGCGGGAGCCGCGCGCGCGTGCGCGGCGCGCGGCGCGGCCGTGGCCAAGGTCGGGCAGCTGTTCGCCGCGTGGAAGCTGCAGCTGCTGGACCGCTGCACGGCGGGCTGGCTGGCCGACGGCAGCGCGCGCTACCCCATCGTGAACCCGCGCGCGCGCTGCGGCGGCCCTCGGCCTGGCGTGCGCAGCCTCGGCTTCCCCGACGCCTCCCGGCGCCTCTTCGGCGTCTACTGCTACCGCGCGCCGGGCGCACCGGACCCTGCCCCCGGCGGCTGGGGCTGGGGCTGGGCTGGCGGCGGTGGCTGGGCTGGGGGCGCGCGCGACCCCGCCGCCTGGACCCCGCTGCGCGTCTAGCGCCGCAGCCCGAGGACGATTGGGGGCGCCCGGCAGCGGCTCCAGCGTCTGCGGTTCCACGCCCCTCCCCACCCCGTGGCCTCTGGCCGTGACTCCTGGGGTGCCCTGCAGGCTGACCAAGCTTCCTGCAGTTTTGGACACCGACAACGGCCCCTGGGGAATCCCTTGAGAGAGGACGAGTCCCAGCGGACTAAGTCTCCTGGAGTTCCCTGGACCAAAACCCCACCGCTTCTGGACAGTGGATTTCCCACGCCCCTGGACTTTGTCCAGGAGAAGGGCCACGCCCCCGAGGACCCCAGGAGGCCAGCCGACCCCCAGCCTCTTGAAGATTCGGCCACCCCTCTGCAGAGACCCTTTGCAGCCGGAACCGCCCCACCCCTCGCGGTCACCTGGAGGCTGGACCCCCAGGATTATTTGGAGACTGGCCCGGCCCCCTGTGCAGCTCCCTGGAGACTGGAATGCGTCCCTTGAGGTCGCCTGGACATGGAATCCCCCTCCCCATCTCAGCGTTTGCCACGTCCACGCGGAGACCACAGGCTCAGGCACTTACCTCGACCCCGACCCCCGGGGGAAAGAAATGCTGGGCACTCCTCCCCCTTGCTGCCTGAGAGTCCGCTAAGGTTTTCAGGGTAACAGGCCAGGTCCCCGGGTTGCTGTGGCGGGCAGTCCCACCCCCGCATCCTCGAGGGAGAGCACCATCTTCTGTCACCACGAGGATGGACTGACCTGTCCCCAGCCGGCCCAGTGACTGGGACCATGCCCCACCCTTGTGGAGGGAGAGCTGACCTGCCCCTTGTCACCAAAGAGACCACGCCCAGGCCCAGGGACCCCTAGGATTCATGTCGCTCGTGTTTTTGGAGTCCAGTACCCCAATTCCCAGTGTCACCAAGGCGACTGTCACCTTGACTCACTGTCCTGGGGATGGTGCCTCCCTCCTCCCATTGTAACCATGGAGGCCACGTTTCCCATCTCGCCGGCCCCACCCCCAGATGCTGTCAAGTCCACCTCTGGACCCCCACGGAGACCACCCTTCCCCCAGCTGTCCCCAGGGTGACCCAGCTGTCACCATGGAAACGGATCACCCCTTTCCCCAGGCCCACCCCCCCATCTCCTTGCCAACCACGAGACTGGGACTCCACAGCCGTTGCTATGGTGACCAAACTCTGGTGTCAAGGGTACCGAGAACACCTGTCCCCCTAGGCTTTTCCTGGTCGACAGGGCTCTGCCCCATCAAGCTGTCACCATGGAGACCGTCAGTGTCGTCCCCATGACAACCAACCTTCCAGCTCTCAGGAACTTCTCACCATGGGCCGGGTGCCCTCTCCCTCACGGACTCCGGACTCCGGGAGCCTCCTATTGGGACTGCCTCCTGCACCCCATGGCGGGGGGGCCCTGCCTGGGGAGCTCCCGGCTACCCTCAATTTGCACGCTAGCTATACGCCGGACAGCGGCTGCGCATGACACTGCCTCGCCACGCTGCGGCTTGCTTTGTTTGTTTATTTACTTATTTATTTGCAACTCTAGCATTGAGGAAACTGGGCAATGGCATGCCCTGGCCCTTCTAGCTGTGCAAGCCTTGAACTCTCTGAGACCCCTCTCCCCATTCTCCTTCCTGGACCCCTGCCCACATTTCCCTTCTTAGACCCTGGGGGATGGAATGTCCCTTGAACTTCAGAATCCACCAGATCCCAAGGCATGATGCGTGCCACAAGCTCCGGACCCCCAGCCGTACCACCCCCCTGCCCCCCTCCCCCCGGCTTGAGAGCCAGCTCAGGGGGACTGAGACATGGACAAGGCCGTTCCCTGGCCGCCCATGGGCGACCCCGGTTCTGAGGTTCTGCCTAGTGTAGCCGTGTCCTGGCACTGTCTCTACCGTCACAACCATCTCTTGGGTTTGGGAACCAAAAGGGCTGGGGTTCGAATCGCGCCTCTGGCTCTTGTTCACTGTGTGACCGAGGGACAAAACCCTTGCGAGCCTCTTTCTTCTAATGTATCGGGCTGTTCTGAGATCCCGCCGAGTGCAAGGCATACAGCAGGGGCTCAATAAATCTTCGTTTCTTTTCATGAATGAGAGAAATGACGCGGCCGGTGGGTTGTTACTTCCTGGATGCGCTTTGGTGGGTAACACGTCACCCAGCTGGGGGTGCCTGGTTCTGGTTCAGTTGGGAAGCCCGCCCCAACTCCCTAGTCCCGTCCTCTGGTGCCCCACCCCCAATGGGTCCGCCCCTTCTCAATGCCAACCTGGGGGTGCTGAGAAGCGTGGGAAATTTCCAGGACACAGGCCGGCACCGCGGCTCACTAGGCTAATCCTCCGCCTAGCAGCACTGGCACACCGGGTTCTAGTCCCGGTCGGGGCGCCGGATTCTGTCCCGGTTGCCCCTCTTCCAGGCCAGCTCTCTGCTGTGGCCAGGGAGTGCAGTGGAGGATGGCCCAGGTGCTTGGGCCCTGCACCCCATGGGAGACCAGGAAAAGCACCTGGCTCCTGGCTCCTGGCTCCTGCCATCGGATCAGCGCGGTGCGCCGGCCGCAGCGCGCCGGCCGCGGCGGCCATTGGAGGGTGAACCAACGGCAAAAGGAAGACCTTTCTCTCTGTCTCTCTCTCTCTCACTGTCCACTCTGCCTGTCAAAAAATAAAAAAAATAAAAAAGTTTCCAGGACACAAAAGAAAACAAAGAAAAGGATAAACAAACCAACAAAAGTGAAGTCTTGGTTTGACTGTAGGAAGCTGCCTGGGTACCGGTGCCGGGACCCCACCCAGGGGCATCTGTCCCAAGCCAGGTCTTAAACCACTGCAGGCCAAACGCCCGCCCCCGGCTGCGCTCTTAACTAAGTGTATAAATTTCCCTTTTCTGATTCGACGAGGCGCTGACCCCACCTCCTTCCGACCCAGCCAATGAGTGCTGTGGCGTATTTCCCTGGGCAATCCTGATTGGTCTAGAAACGGGCGTGGATCCAGGCAAACCAATGCGACTCAGTCCCTGGGATTTGGGTGGAATGGGCGAGCGGAGGCTGGGGCCGCTGTACCGCTGTATGGCGGCGGTTTCAAGGAACCCAGGTGAGGGGAGCCTCACCTGCCTCGAACCCTCCCTCCTGTCCGCCGCCGCCTAGGTCTGTCCCAGCGATCCCGCGTGCCCTGCCAGAGCCGTTTTCTGTTTATTTAAGCAAGTATGCACTTAGCATCAGCCCTCTGCATCCGCTCAGGATTGGCTCCAGGAATCCCCCAGAATACCCGCATCTGCAGCTGTCTGGGTTCCTTATATAAACGGGGTGATATTCTCATGAAACCCATGCACACCCTCCCACGCACTCCAAACCATCCCTGGATCCTTTATAATACCCAACATCACGTATGCTATGTAAATAGCTATTGTATTGTCTGAAAAATGACAAGGAAAAAAAAGTCGGTACAAGCTCATGAACGATGTCAATTTTCTCCTTTTTTTCTTTATTTTCTGAGAGGCAGAGGTAGACAAGGACGCTCCTGTCATCTGGTTCACTCCCGCGCAAAGGCCCACAATGGCCAGGGACTGAAGCTGGGGGCTGGGAACCCCAGCCGGGTCTCCCACGTGGGTAGCAGGAACCCAGTTACTTGAGCTATCACTTACTACCTCCCAGGGTGCGCATTAGCAGGGAGCTGGGGTCAGGACACAGAACTGGGGGTTGAGCTCAAGCACTCTGATGTGGGATGCAGACAGAAGCCAGGAGCTCCATCCGGGTCTCCCACGCGGGTGCAGGGGCCCACGGACTTGGGCCATCTTCCACTGCTTTCCCAGGCCACAGCAGAGAGCTGGATTGGAAGTGGAGCAGCCGAGACTCAAGCCAGCATTTATACGGGATGCTGATGGTGCAGACAGTGGCTTAACCCACTGTGCCACGACACTGGCCCCAAGAGAGCAGGTTATTATAAAAAAGTGAACCTGGCTCTTTGCTACTTTTTGCTTCCTCTCTTGCTGTCACGGGTCTCCTTTCCACATGGTCTCACCTCATGCTCTTCGTGAAAAGCAGAAGTGCTTGGGCCTCCAGTACTGTGAGTGAAATAAACCTCTTTTCGCTATAAAGTATCCAACCTCAGGTATTTTGTTACAGTAACGCAAAACAAAGACGTCCATGGTTGCCTTACTGTGAACTGCTTTGTCCATAGCTTTTGTACGTTTGGCTAGCGGATGATTTTTCCCATTGATTTTAGAAACTCTTTATATATGAAGGCAACAAGTCCTTTCTCTCTGATTTAAAAAAGTCATTTCCAAGTTTTTGACATTTGCCTTCGACCTTTTTCTTTGTTTGTTTGCCCTGATGGCCAAATCCTCACTATAGCCCCGAGGGGTCCATCTCCCGCCTCTGGCCTCCACCCTCTGACTCTCTCATTCTGTTCCAGCCCTGGGAAACTCACTGCTGTCTCTCAAAAGGATTCCCCTCTCTTTTTGTCGTGGTTCTTCCCTCACCGAATGAAGAAAAGCATCAGGAGGTGGAACAGGCAGGTGGAACTGTTAAAAAAATTTTATTAAAATGTCCAAGAAGTACATTAATGTCCACAGTGTCAGCTATCACAGAGCCACGGAACACTGCGGCTTACAGCAACACCAGCAGTTCCCACAGCTGTCCACGCGCACACTCACACCATGCCCTGCGCACCGCACATGCGAACACACACACGCACCTCGCGGGGAAAGGTCGAAGGACAAACCACCACTTCAGAGAAGACCAGAGCCCCTCCCACCCTGGAGCTGGGGCGGGGGCAGAGCAAGGGGGGGTTAAGGGTTCCAAGGGCAGGGAGCGTCAACCAAGACCCCCACACAAGCTGTGTCCCCAGCCACCACCACCCCACCCCAAACGAAGGAGAATTCTTTTTTGTGTGTGTGTGTGACATGGGTAACAGAAAAACGTGTTATTCTTATTATATATATTGTTTAACCCAAAGCGACAAAGACAAACCTCTATGCCTAGGCTTTCTCAACTATGAGTGGACAAGGGACAATGCTGATGGCAGGGAAAACTGAAAGGCAGGGTTAAGGGCCAGGATCCCATGTACAGCCAGTGTGTTCCCCTCGGGAACTCCCAGGGCTGGGGGCAATGCACCTGCCCGCCACTGCCTGCGCTGTGCTCCCAGGATTCCTCCCACCTCCAAGGGCCCCAGAGGGAGGCTGGATTCACCACCTGACCGTCCCCCCTGTCCTTCACCCACTAAGACCAAAGACCGAACTTGAGCTGAAATCCAAGGTCAAGGACAGGGCAGCCGCGGAGTCAGAGCCGTGGGCTTCCGGATCACCGCGTGGGAAATGGGCAAAGCGTGGTCCCTAAGTCACCGCGATGCAGAAAGGACTCGAGGAGACAGGGTAGAAGCACTTAGCACCTGCTCCGCAGCTGTCGCCTGGGACTGTAACTTGTGCAGAGGGATAAGGGCTCAGTTAACACATCTCTGTCCTTACTGAGCCCCCCTCAGTGTGTGCATTTTTTTTTTTCGTCTGCACAGAGTCCTTTTCTATCGCCCATCCGCAGGTCTGACCCTGACGGGAGGAGCGGAGACAGGAGGAGAGCTGTGGGTCTCTCAAGCCAGGCTTCAGGGACCAGGGTCCTGGCTTCCGGCTCGGGAAGGTGTTTTCCAGTTGCAAGTGAGCTCTTCCCCACTGATCAAGTTTCCAGCGAGGAGAAACACAGTTGGGCTGGTCGACACCACACCTCGCTTCACCACGCTCAAGCTTCCGGTGTTTCTAGCCGGCTGGGCAATGGCTCGAGAGGGGGGCGGGCGGTGGAAAGGGGGTGGGGCGCTGGGGAGAGGACCCAGGGCAGGGGCTCTGCCAGCGGCTGCTAGGGGCATGGGTACAGGCAGCGGGCTTGAGAGCTTGGCACCCAGGAGGATGTCCCTGAGAGACGGAGGGAAAGAAAGCCCTAAAGATCCTGTGTGTGAGATCCACCACTTCTCAGCCCTGGCCTTGCCTGGCGCAGGTGGGTGAGATGCCTGCCCTCCACTGCCTACTCTAGCTACGCCCTAGCTCTGATGCTACTCCTAACTCCTGGGACACCACTCGGGAGGCTGATCCCAAATCCCTCCTAAAATTCAGCACACAGCAGTTCCACGCCCAGTTTGACAAAAGACTGGACTTGAGCTAGAAGCCAAGGTCAAGGAGATGGCAGAGGCTGGGTTCCAGCCAACAGCCGCTGGTTGCACTGTCTCTCCCCAAGGCTCTTGATCTTAAGTGGAGGCGTCCGCCCGGATGGGGAACAGCCAACCACTCACTAAGCCTGAATCTTTGCCCCAAAAGGTCAGGTCTTAATCTAAGCGCCAGCCCTTGCACGGGTCTCAAAGCCTTATCCCAGCACCGCCAATCACTCAGGCAAACAAAGGCAATGCAGAGTCCCCTTGGTCTTGTATATTGGTGAGCGAGCAGGTGCATCAGGGTGTGGCTTGGCCACACGGGACTTTTGCAATACACGGACCTCGTGTGTGAATGCAAAGGAGGAGGAGGGGGCTCTGTACAAAGGGTTATGCATGTGGTTTGGGGTTCAGGGGCTCCCAGACGCTCTCGTCTCCCTCTCTGGGCTCTGTCTCCCCACGCGAAGGTTCCAGAAGGTTCTGCGGGAGGGGGGGGCTGTGCTTCTTCCTCCTGCTGTTCAGCAGAAATTCCCTTCCTCCTTCTCCCAGTCCTCCGCGGGGGGCTGTTTGTGCTTTCTGTGTTCCTTGTGCGGTTTGTGACGATGGTGCTGGCGGTGGTGCTGGTGGTGGTGATGGTGTCGCCGCATCCGGTGTGACCGTCTGGCTGCAGGTGGGCCGTGGGGAGGCCAGGACAGGGAAGAAGCAAAAAAAAAAAAAAAAAAAGCAGTGAGCCTACAGGAGTGGCTTTGATGCGGGGGAGGGGAAGTGGAGGCAGAAGACCCCGCCCCACGTGATTGGCAAGCTTGTGCGGTGGGCGGGGCAGGCCAGAAGCCAGCTAGCCCACCGTGCACGCGGATGCAGGGGGATGTGTTGATGGGAAAAGCCTGGGCGGGGGTCTCCCGGGCTGGGGGAGGGGAGGAGCCACTTACGTTTGGTGCAGACAATCTGGGGTCTGTCCCATTTGCCGTTGCTACGGCAGCGGATGGTGGCCACGTGGTGCTGGGAGAAGCCCTCGTCGCACTGGTAGCGCACGGTGGCGTGGACGTTGTACTTGGCCTTGCGGGCGCCCACCAGGGAGGCGTTCTCCACCGCGGGAGGGGGGCCGCACAGCACTGGGGACACAGGGGCCTCTCGTTAGGGAAGGGGGCGAGGCTGAGACTGCCGGCACCTCCCCGCGCCTGCTCTGGTCGCCCGCGGTTACAGGTGGCTGTGTCCGCCAAAGCCAGGGACTCCCTAGGGGACCGCCCCCCCGGGACATGCTCCGCCCCCTGATTGTCACAGCAGCGCTAGGGCAGCACTGGGGACAGCGGGTGCAGGAACTTGAGCAGGCGAAAAAAGGACCTCGGGGCCAGTGCCTGCGGCGTGGGTACAGCACGTGGCCACCGGTTCGAGTCCCGGCCGCTCCACTTCCGATCCAGCTCCCTGCCGATGCGCCTGGGAAAGCAGCGGATGATGGCCCAAGTGCGTGGGCCCCTGCACCTGCGTGGGAGACCTGGAAGAGGCCCCTGGCTTTGGATCGGCACAGCTCTGGCCTTTGTGGCCAATTGGAGAGTGAACCAGCGGATGGAAGACTCTCTCTCCCTCCCTCTCTCTTCCTCTCACTCTCTGTGTAACTCGGACTTTCAAATAAATAAATAAATATTTTAAAAAATAAAAAAGTTAAATAAACTGTGAAATGCCACATCTCACCACTTAAGCAAAGGAAAAGCTGGAGGAGAGGCAGAGTGGGTGAGGAGTGACAGGAGGCGGGGGGCGGCGAGCGCCCGCCCACTGCGCACCTGCGGCGGACGGTCACTGGCTCAAACAGGCGAGGGCCCGCCCACTGCGCACCTGCGGCGGACTGTCACTGGCTCCCACAGGCGAGCGCCCGCCCACTGCGCACCTGCGGCGGACAGTCACTGGCTCCCACAGGCGAGCGCCCGCCCACTGCGCACCTGCGGCGGACGGTCACTGGCTCCCACAGGCGAGCGCCCGCCCACGGCTCACCTGTGCCCTTCTTGCACACGTAGGGGAGATTGTAGTTACAAGGGACGTCATTCCAGCGGCCGCTCTCGTGCGCCACCATCACCACGCAGTCCTCGCCCCCCGCGAAGAAATTGTCCGGCTGGTTCTCTCGCCAGTTCTCGTATTGCTGCAGGAGGGACCCGCGTCCCAGCTCAGCCCAGGCTCGGCCACCGGCTCAACCCCGGCCACATCCCTCAGACTCATCCCAGGGACCCAGTGTCCCCGTCTCGACCGCGGGCGCTGTCCGGCCTGTGAGGTCCTCCTCCTCCTCGGCCGCCCTACTTCCTAGCTCCTCCCAGCCCCCTCCTTGTCTGTTTCCCCGATGGGGTGGCTTTTAGATAAATACTTGGACAGAATTCAAAAGATGGCCTCAGCCTGGAAGTCCAGGAGGGCTTCTCGGAGGAGGCTGCAGGAGAGCTGAGGACCCTTTGAAATCTTTTTCAGAAAAGAGTCCTGGGCCCCAGGAACAGGATTGAAAACATTGGAGAACTGGTGGGGGCCAGGGCGTGGCTTATTATCAAGACACTGAATGGCCGCAACATTGTTAGTTTAATGCTGTGTGAATTTCACCTCCACGGGGCTGGCAGGTGTGTGAGGAGGGGAGAACGCCCCCAGCAGGTGGCCAGGCAGAGGGAGCGGGAGGAGGCACCAGCCCCCAGTCCTGTGTTTGCAGCCTGAGTGACTGGCTGGGCGGGGGCTGGGGAAGCTGGGGCGGGGTGGGAGGACACGGCCTTCGCTGATGCGCCATTGCCAACTCCGGAATCTCGGAGGGTACCCCCCTTGCCCCCTGGACGCCCAAGAGGGTAAACCGAGGCCGGGGGGCAGGGACCCACCACTCACCAGCCCTGTGTTGTCCGTCCACTGGAAGTCCCTCTCCACGATCCTGTCGTTTAGCCCGATCCACGTGTTTTCGTGCCCAAAGCCTGCAGAGGTGGGGGGGGGGAGGCGGCGTGAGGGCTGGGAGCCGGCCCCTCCTGTACACCTTGGGGTGGGGGCAGGGCAGGAGGAGAGGGTGCGACCCCTTTCCCCAGCCTGGGAGGCAGCCGGGGAGGAGGACCCAGAGTCCCTTGGCGGCCCCGGGTATGGGCAGGAGGCGACCTGAGTCCCTGCTCTCGGCACGCATGCCCAGCAGGGATCCTGGCTGCCCTCTTGCCTGGGCAGTGCGGCTGGGGGCAGGGACATGGCGTGGGCGGGACTTGAAGCCCCAGCGGGCGGTGCCAGGCCGGGGCAGGGTGTCGCTGGCTGAGCAGGGGCTTTGAGGATATATGGAGGAGATGGGAAGCCAGCACCAAGCAACCCAAGGATCCACGGGGCCACTGACTACACAGAGCGGTGAACAAATGGCAGAAGAAAAACAGTGAGCTCCGGATCCAGCGAACGCCACACTCTGCTGTGTTCTTCACGTCAGCCCACACATCACAGATGTCGCCCTCCGTCACCCTCTGTCTCCTGGCCCTGTGGCATCTGTTGTTAGCACACTCAGGCCCTATTACCCAGTACAGGTGAACATAATACAGTACCATACAACTATTAATGAAAATATTCTTTGATTAGATAGTCACTTGTTTGTGTCACCACCCAACCTCCCTGTGGACATAGCAATGTGTGTCCTGTGTGCTGTAGTGCTGCGGTGCCTGGCACACACACTAAGTATTTGGTGAATGACTGAATGAGTGAACCCATGGGCGTGGGAATTAACAGGGAGCCAGGGCTTGGCTTCATGGGCGCAGCTATGGAGAGGTGGCGTCATGCAAAGAGGCCACCCCCGCCCGCTATGCTGGCTGGGAGACACCCCCCGCCCCGGAGTGCCTACTGTTGATGAAGCTCTGCTCCTCGACAGAGTGGACGCTGGTCAGATGGCCGGCCCGGCGGCGGCAGTCCCTCTCGGCGTCTTCCCACGCCCGCCGGTGAGCGAAGTAGCGGTAGCAGTGGCCCTGGAACTTGTGCCAGCCCCGGTCACAGCCCTCGGTGTCTGGGAGTGTGAGACAGGTGCATGGTGAGGGGCTGGCCTTGGCTCATCAGCCAGGAGCCCAGCCAGCCCCTGCGCAAGGGGTCCATCCCAGGGTCACCTCCCCGTCACCCATCCCCATCCACGTCCCCTCTTTCCTGCTGGTGGAGGTTGACGTTCAAGGTCATTCTCTAGGCCCCGCCCCTGCTCAACATCTCAACATTTCCTTCTCTGATTGGCAGGGCCGCATCCTCTCTGGGAGGGCACCTGGGCAACTCGAAGAAGGGCCTGGCAGCTCTGTGAGGTGTTAGATCCGGGGGCCAGCGCTGTGGCACGGTGGATTTAACCACCGCTTGTGCTGCGGCATCCCACTAGAGGAAGGGTTCGCGCCCCGGCTTCTCGACTTCCTTCTGATCCGGCTCCCTGCTAAGGCACCTGGAAAGCACCGAGGGATGACCCAAGTGCTTGGGCCCCCGCCACCCACGTGGGAGACCCGGATGGCGCTCCTGGCTCCTGGCTTTGGTCTGGCCCAGTTCTGGCTGTTGCAGCCATTGGTAAAGTGAACCAGTGGAAGACCTCTCTCTGTCTCCATCTTTCTCTATAACTCTGCCTTTCAAATAAGTAAATATTTATTTCTTTATTTATTTGAAAGGCAGAGTTACAGAGAAGCAGAGAGAGAGAGAGAGGTCTCCCATCGGCTGGTTCACGCCCCAGATGGCCACAACGGCCGGAGCTGTGCCGATCCAAAGCCAGGAGCCAGGAGCTCCATCCAGGTCTCCCACGCGGGTGCAGGGGCCCAAGCACTTGGGGCCATCTTCCACTGCTTTCCCAGGCCATGGCAGAGAGCTGGATGGGACGAGGAGCAGCCCAGACTCGAACTGGCGCCCATATGGGATGAGGGCATTGCAGGCAGCGGCTTTACCTGCTATGCCACAGCGCCGGCCCCCCAATAAATAAATCTTGAGAGAGAGAGAGAAATAGTGGGTACAGGTCAGTTGTGATCATCTGTGGATAGTGAACCAGCGGCTGGAAGAACCCTCTCTCTCCATTTTTCCCTCTCTAACTTTCTAAATAAATAAATCTTTAAAACTCCACAACTCACAATTTTCCTCCTGTAGGGTTCACAGCCACGGAACCAGAGGAGGAGACCTGGAGCATGTCGGGGGAGCCCGCGCTTGCCCGTGATGGGGCACAGACACTCACCTTTCTCGCACAGGCTGCCCCCGTAGCTGGGGAGGCAGAGACACACAAAGCCGTTGACCTCGTCGACACAGGTGCCTCCGTTCTCACAGGGGCTGCACATGCAGTCGTCAATGTCTGGCGTGGAGAAGGAGGGGCCGAGTCAGAAGAGCAGCCGTCCCTGGGCTCTGAGCACCCCCTCCCCGGGGAACCAGGCAAGACACAGAGTCACGATCCGACCCTGTATCCTGCACCCGACTGCGGCATTGGTGGTCTGTGCAGGGTGGAATCTCATACAACTACCATAAACCAGCATTACTGAGCTCCGATGGGGACAGAGGCCACACTTGTCACAAAGTATCTGGATGTAGAAGGAGATGCTGAGGGCAGCTCTTTTACCAATTCTGTGTCCAACAGTGCTTGAAGCTCCTGTGACATTAGGGGAGTCACTTCTCTTCCTTGAGTCTTTGTACAAAATGGTGACAAATCATGGCACCCTTTCCAGGGTGGTTCTACCTGGAGACTCAATGGAAGAGCTCCAGAAATTTTATCATGTACATTTTTTATAATTAATTGTAGTGTGGTGGAAGCACAGATCTTAATAAATTCTATCATTTATGGTTAAGGCTTTAATTTCATAATTAATCATAGTTTGGTGGAAGCAAAGAGCTCAATAAATTATATCATTTATATTTATTGTTTTAATTTTATAATAATGCTGTGTTGGGTCCCGGGGCTAGCATCTTACAGTTCCAGTGGTGGTGCCTATATCCCTGCCTACTCAGGAGTGGGTGGGAACCCTAGAGACACATCAGCCTTTTATCTTCCTTCTGCATCCCTGCCTGGTAGTAAGAGCAGGCAGCAGCCCTGAGCTCGGCCCAGATTTGGCTTTAACTAGGGCTTGATTTAGCTAGACTGAAGGAGAGGGGTGCGGGGAGCAGCTTTTGGTAAGCTCCGAGTCCTGTGGGCTTTGGCCACCCCGGCAGACCCCCAGGGTCTGTAGTGAAAGACTGGGGGGGGGGCACTCACCAATCTCGCAGTTTTCCCCAGCAAAGCCTTGGTCACAGCTACAGCCATACATGGTGCTGTTGGCACTGCACGTACCTCCGTGCAGGCATGGGTTGTTCTCGCAGGGATCCGAGGGTGCTGCAGGAGGCACGGGCCATCGGGTCACTTGTCTGCCTTAGAATGCAGACCTTGTGCCCCGAAGCTGTCTCATCAAAGCCTTCTATGTGGATGGGGCCGGTACTAACGTCCCATACAGATTCCAATTTGAGTCCCGGCTGCTCCACTTCCAATCTAACTCCCTGCTTAGGCACCTGGCAGGTGCAGGAGCCCAAGTACTTGGGCCATCTTCTACTGCTTTCCCAGACCATCAGCAGGGAGCTGGATTGGAAGTGGAGCAGCTGAGACTAGAACCAGAGCCCATATGGGGTGCCAACACTGCAGGTGGAGCCTTTGTCTGCTACACCACAGCGCCAGTCCCGGCTTTACCTCTTTCGCCGTAACCTTAGCGAGCGTCATTTGTAGGGGTGGTGGATTACAGGGATCATGACCACGGGCCGTGGAGCCAGAGACCTGGTTCAGTCCTTGGCTCTGCCACACCCTAGGGGACCCGGGGCACGTCACGGATCTGAATGTCAGCTGTCTCACAGAGCCGGGCATCTCAGGACGTCTCCCCCGGCCCCGCCCCCATTTCCAGCCGGGTTTCCCCGGATGCAGTCCGAGGGGTCTCCTCTGCTTCCTGGGAACCCAGATGTCTTGGTGGGGGCTCCCCGACTCCTGGAAGAAACTGCTTCCCTTCTGGAATGCGGGAGGAGCAGGGCAAGAGCCGCCGTCCTGTGCCCGCCAACCCCAGGGTCTCCCAACACCCAAGCATTGCCGGGAGGGCGGAGCCAGGGAACAGCAGGGGGTGGCCCAGGCCTGGCTGTTGCAGGAGAAGCTCTGTCTCGCTGTCTCTCAAATTAAAAAAAAATGACTAAGTAGAATTGTGAAAAAGAAATTGAGCTGACACGAAGCAGTGGGCTCTCCTTAGCCTCTGCCTTCACCCTCCACCTAAACCAGACTCCCACCATGTCCCTCCTCTGCCTGGACCGCTCCATGGCTCCCTGTTGCCCACAGAAGAAAACCGACCTCCTCCTCACGGTCCCTGGGGCCCTGTGCAGCCTCCGCCGGCATTCCCCGTGCTCACTCGGCTCCAGCCATGCTGGCATCCCTGGTCCTCCAGCAGGCCAGGCGCGGCCCTGCCCCAGGACCTTTGAACAGCTGCCCCCTCTGCTGGGAGCACTCTCCCACCAGACCCCTGCAGGGCTCCTCACTCCTCCCACGGCTGCTCAGGCCTCTCCTGGTCGTCCCTTCCACCTGTGGTCCCTGCCGTGGTTCCTTTATCTCTCCCGCCATCATCACGTTCTCACACCAGCAGAACTGACTTCCGCTAGTTTCCCTCTCTCCCTAAAGCAGCGACGTTCCAGGTGGCGGCTGCCAGGCTGCTCATGCTTCGGTGACTTAGAATGAAACAGGAGTGAAAACGCAGGGTGGTCATGCGGTGCAGAGGGTTATGTTGCCGCTTGGGATGCCCACATCCTGCACCGGAGCGCCTGGTTCGAGTCCCGGCTCTGGTTCCCGACTCCAGCTCCCTGTGCATGTGCACCCCGGGAGGCAGCAGTGATGGCAAAGGTGCTGGGGTCCCTGCCACCCACGTGGGAGACCCAGATGGAGTTCTGGACTCCTGGATTCGGTTTGGTCCAGTCCTGGCTGTTGCGGGCTTTGGGGGAGGAACTAGTGGATGGGAGAGCTCGTTCCATCTGTCTGTCTCTTTCTCTATCTCTGCCTTTCAAACAAAACGAAAAGGCTGAGTCTCGTGGTGATTAAGCTGCTGCCTGGCCCACATATCAGAGTGACAGGTTCAAGTCCCGGCTGCTCCACTTCCAATCCAGCTTCCTGCCAATGTGCCTGGAAAGCCGTGGGTGACGGCCCAAGTGTTTGGGTCCCTGTCACCCATGTGGGAGACCCGGATGGAGCCCCTGGCTCCTGGCTTCAGCCTGGAGAAGCCCTGATAATTGTGAATATTTGGGGAGTGAACCAGTGAATGGAAGATTCCCTCTCCCCCTCCCCCTCCCCCTCCCTCTCCCTCTCTTTTTCAAACAAGCAAAAATGAATAAACAAACAAGTTTTCAACATGAAGACGAGGGCCACAGCAGGTTAAGCCGCCACTGCTGATGTCAGTGTCCCTCCCTCTCTCTCTCTCGAAATGCTTTGCAAATAAAAAATAAATCTTTAAAAAAATTTAAAAAATAAAACAACGGCTTCATTTTTTAAAACAGGTTTCTTCTTTATCTTTAAAGACTTATTTATTTATTTGAAAAGCAGAGCAGGGAGGGAAAGGGAGAGAATAAAGAAAACGAGACTTCGCCACCCACTGGTTCACTCTCCAGATGCCCGCGGCAGCCAGGGCTGGGCCACACTGAAGCCAGGAGCCCAGGACCCAATCTGGGTCTTCCATGTGGGTGCAGGGGCCCAAGCACCTGGGCCGTGTTCTGCTGCTTTCCCAGGTGCGTTAGCAGGGAGCCGGATTGGAAGCCGAGCAGCCGGGAACTCAAGCCCCCGGGATGCCCAGCGTCACAGGCGGCAGCTTAGCCTTAAATCTTTTTAAAGCGGCCGGCGCCGCGGCTCACTAGGCTAATCCTCCGCCTAGCGGCGCCGGCACACCGGGTTCTAGTCCCGGTCGGGGCGCCGGATTCTGTCCCGGTTGCCCCTCTTCCAAGCCAGCCCTCTGCTGTGGCCAGGGAGTGCAGTGGAGGATGGCCCAGGTGCTTGGGCCCTGCACCCCATGGGAGACCAGGAAAAGCACCTGGCTCCTGGCTCCTGCCATCGGATCAGCGCGGTGCGCCGGCCGCAGCGCGCCGGCTGCGGCGGCCATTGGAGGGTGAACCAACGGCAAAGGAAGACCTTTCTCTCTGTCTCTCTCTCTCACTGTCCACTCTGCCTGTCAAAAATAAAAAATAATAAAAAAATAAAAAAAAATAAAAAAAATCTTTTTAAAGCAATAAAAGCAATAAAGCTCCTCACGGCCATTACTGGGCGAGGTCTACACACGACCAGCTTTGAGACTGGAATACAGCAGGCGCTCAATGATTGCTTTCTAACTCAGCGAAGGCAGCAACTGGCTCTCCCGCGCTGGCACCTGTCCTGGCATTGGCTGGGGGGGGGTTTGCCTGTGCCCCTCAGGGACAGCAAAGGGGCTCGCGGACGGTGAGGCCCCAGCACGTGTGTGTGCACACGCGTGGGGCTGCCGGGCGGCGGGACGCGTGAGCCCCGCCAGGTGCCCTGTGCTGCCGACACCTGCCCACAGACTGGCGCTGACTCAGTCGCTCGCTGGTGCTGCGTTTATTTTTGGCTTCGTTAGCATTTCTGTTGCCAGGGGAGGGAGGGAAGGCGCCTGGGTCTCCCCCGGCTTCAGCTTGGAGCCGAGAATCCAGCCCCGCCCCCGGGCTGCAGGTGCTGCGACCCCCCCCCCCCCGGGACGATGTCCTTCGCACCCCCGTCTGCTTCCTCTCCGCCTTCTCTGATCGCCCCCCACCCGTCTCGTCTCGTCTCCTCTGGCACTGAGGAGCCTCCCTGCCCCTCCCCACGGCCCCCTACCTGGGTAGGTCCACCACATGCCCAAGGCTTCGTGTCTATTCATTTATTTTTAAGATTTATTTTTTGGGGCCAGCTCTGTGGTGTAGCAGGTGAAGCCGCCGCCTACAGCGCCGGCATCCCATAGGGGTGTCAGTTCGAGTCCCAGCTGCTCCACTTCCGATCCAGCTCTCTGCTGTGGCCTGGGAAAGCAGTGGAGGATGGCCCAGGTCCTTGGGCCCCTGCACCTGCGTGGGAGACCCGGATGGAGCTCCTGGCTCCTGGCTTCAGATCGGTGCAGCTTCGGCTGTTGTGGCCATCAGGGGAGTGAACCAGCGGATGGAAGCTCTCTCTCTCTCTCTCTCTCTGTCTCTGTCTCTGTCTCTGTTTCTCTCTCTCTCTCTCTCTCTGTAACTCTTACTTTCAAATAAATAAATAAATAAATCTTTTTTTTTTTTTTTTAAAGCAGCCAGTTAAGGCGCCTGCATCCCACTTCAAAAGACCTGGGTTCAACTCCCAGCTCCAGCTCCTGCCTCCGGGCTTCAGCCCCAGCCTATTCTTGACGGCTACTGGTACCTGGGGGGGAGCATAGTAGATTCTCCGCCCCCCCCCGCCTCCAATAAATAAATAAAAATCAAATGTGTTAATATGGATATTTGCAAGTCAGAAAAAGTTTTTTAATTAACTTCAAATGCATTTACTTCTTAAACTGACATGATCCACTTTTAAATATTTATTTATTTTGATTTTGTTTGAAAGGCAGAGTTAGAGAGAGAGCGCGTGCGCTTCCACCCACTGGTTCACTCCCCAGACGCCCACACTGACTGGTGCTGGGCCAGGCTGTCCGGAGCTCCAGCCGGGTCTCCCACGCGGGTGACAAGGACCCGAGTACTCGAGCCATCACTGCTGCCTCCCAGGGTGCGGGTCAGCAGGGAGCTGGGTCGGCAGTGGAGGTGGGACTCGAACCCAGGCCCCCCCAACACGTGATGTGGGCGGTCCAAGCAGGGCTTTAACCACTGAGCCACAGTGCCCGCCTCTGCTTCATCCCTTTTTTTTTTTTTTTTTTTTTTTTGACAGGCAGAGTGGACAGTGAGAGAGAGAGACAGAGAGAAAGGTCTTCCTTTGCCGTTGGTTCACCCTCCAATGGCCGCCGCGGCCGGCGCGCTGCGGCCGGCGCGCTGCGGCCGGCGCACCGCGCTGATCCAATGGCAGGAGCCAGGAGCCAGGTGCTTTTCCTGGTCTCCCATGGGGTGCAGGGCCCAAGCACCTGGGCCATCCTCCACTGCACTCCCTGGCCACAGCAGAGGGCTGGCCTGGAAGAGGGGCAACCGGGACAGAATCCGGCGCCCCGACCGGGACTAGAACCCGGTGTGCCGGCGCCGCTAGGCGGAGGATTAGCCTAGTGAGTCGCGGCGCCGGCCTGCTTCATCCCTTTTGTAAACAAAAGTTTATCTGACCGAAAGCCCCAGCTCAGATTCTAAACAAAACAAAAAACAACAACAACAAAAAAACAACGCTGGCCCCAGGGAGAGGGGCAGTGGCTTCCTCCGGACCCCACCGTGCACAGAGCAGCACGCATCAGGCAGACTTGGGTGCCGAGTGAGGCTTAGCCACTGGGTCGCCAGGCAGGACCTCCAAGGGTATTTGAAAAAAAATCATAGGGCCGGCGCCGCGGCTCACTAGGCTAATCCTCCACCTTGCGGCGCTGGCACACCGGGTTCTAGTCCCGGTCAGGGCACCGGATTCTGTCCCGGTTGCCCCTCTTCCAGGCCAGCTCTCTGCTGTGGCCAGGGAGTGCAGTGGAGGATGGCCCAAGTGCTTGGGACCTGCACCCCATGGGAGACCAGGAGAAGCACCTGGCTCCTGACTCCTGCCATCGGATCAGCGCGGTGCGCCAGCCGTGGCGGCCATTGGAGGGTGAACCAACGGCAAAGGAAGACCTTTCTCTCTGTCTCTCTCTCTCACTGTCCACTCTGCCTGTCAAAAAATAAAAAAAAAATTTTAAAAAAATCATAGAAAATGCATATATTGAGCAAACTATGTGTGGATTTCAAAAGCTTTGCACCCCAATAAGCTTATATTTCCATTCTACTTTCCACAAACTTTAAAAACGATTCATCTATTTGGAAGGCAAAGAGGCGGACAGAATGAGGGAGTAGCGGCTCCTGGGCGCTGGTCCACTCCGCGTGCGCCCACGGCGGCCGGGCCTGGGCTGACTCAGTGCCCGGAGCAGCAGCCAGGAGCCGGATCCCAGGCACTCGGATGTGGGACGTGGGCATCTTACTTCCCTCTTAAGAAAGATTTTATTTATTTATTGAAAGGCAGAGTGACAGAGACAGAGGGAGAAACAGAAGAGAGAGAGACAGAGAGAGAGAGATCTTCCATTCACTGGTTCACTCTCCAAATGGCAGAAACAGCCAGGGGTCTCGTACAGGGGTGGTAGACACCCATGTCCTTGGGCCACCATCTGCTGCCTCCCGGGCTCATTAGCGGGAAGCTGGATCAGAAGCCTGGAGTGGAACCAGGCAACTCTGAGAGAGGCTGCTGCTGTCCCGTGACGGCACCACAGCACCCGCCCTCAAGGCAGGGATCTGCACCAGCGGGCTAAAGGCTCACCTCTGCATGAATCCTTTGTGGGGAGCAACTCGGACTAGACTAGGTTGCTGGAATTAGGACTTATTCTATGCATCTGCTCTCCCACAATATGGTGCTGGGAGAGAAGAAAACAGCTTCTACACAGCTGCCTCCAGTTCAGCCAATAAACTGTAGGACTTGCTCCTGATTGGAGGAGAGCAGCGTGCTCGGCGTGTGGGCAGCCGAGTTGGGATTGGCAGAGGAGGACTATAAAGGAGGAGAGAGACGGCATGCACCAGGAACATCTAAGGGGAACATCTAAGAGGAACATCTAAGGGGAACACCTGTGCAGCCCCCAAGAGAGCCGGCCGGCGGTGTGCCGCTCCCCTGCGGAAGTGGGGAATGTGGCCAGGGGGAACCGCCCTTCCACGGAGGTGGAAGGGACAGTAGCCAACCTGGGAAGAACCAGCAGCAAACCCGGGGAGGGCCGAGCAGACGAAAGAACAGCGCAGGGTCCTGTGTCGTTCCTCCACGAAGAGGGGGAGCGACATAATGGTGCCGTGACTCGGATATGAAGCCTAGGCAGGGTTTAGTGTCGTTCCTCCACGAAGAGGGGGAGCGACACTTGGCTGTGCCCTCCTACCTCCCTGAGCCTCAGTTGTGCAGTCTCTAGAATGGGCTGGGAGGGTTCGCTCAGCAACTCCCATCTCTCCCCAGCCTCCACTTTTCCTGCGGCTCGTGACCCCCTCCATGATCCACATCACCGATTTCCAGGCCCAACCTCCACTTGTGCAGAGATCTCTGGGCTGTATCCCTCCCACCGGCCACGCCCACTCACATGGCCATGCCCATGACACACCCCTCAACCTAGCCACACCCCCTCCAGCCCATGCCTGAGAGCTAGTCTCTGTCCACCTATGGGGGAATCTCTGAATGCCAGTCCCCCCCTCTACACACAAACCCAATGGCCTGCCCCAAACTAAACCCATCCCCCAAACCAAACAACCCCACGGCCCATCGTACCTACAGCTTGGCTGCTGGAACAAAGTCACTGTTAAAAGCCAGACTCAGTTTCACCTCCTGGGCCTTGCCTATGCTGACCCCTCTGCCAGGGTCACCCTTCCCAAAACGCTCCTCCACCTCAGGAGCTCTCACCTCCAGTGCCACCCCCTGCTGGAAGCCCCCAGACCCCCCAGGGTCAGCCCTGGACTTTGAACTTACTTACCCTCCTCTGCACCCCCATTCCCAGGGCTTCCCAGCAGCGCCGGCTCCTCTCCGCTCGCCACCTCCTCCCAGAAGCTGTCCACTGCTGGTCTCCCGGCCAAGAGCTCCAGCTGCAAGTCTCCTGTGCCCTGGGACACAGGTGGCAGGGTGCTGGGGGCGTCCCACGGCACCGCAGGCTCCCTGGAGGGAGCTGAGACAGCTTCGTCCACGCCGGCTGCAGTGGGTGTGCACGGTGGAGGAGAGACCGATGCTCCAGGTGTCCCCTCGGCCACCGTCCGGCCCTCTGGCTCTGGCTGGGGTTGGAAGCTCGCAGTGGCCAGGATGGACGTCACCAGGGCATCAGTCTTGTCCCCCTGGTCTGGGGACGTGAGGGGCGTCGTCACCCTGCTTGCATCGAACGTCACCGGAGGGTGCCAGGTGGGGCTCTCAGTCCCCTCAATCATGAGCGGCGATCCGGATTCCCAAAGGCCAGCAGCGTCGCTGGATTCCGGCGTGACCGAGGAACCCGCGGGATCCACCGTGGATCCTACGCCTGTGGCACCCCCAGGCCCCAAACTTGGGGTGACTTTGGGCACCACAAAAACTCCAGGGTCCCCCGGCGAAGCTGAAGGGGGCCTGGAGCCCACCTCCTCCGTGGTGGCCACCAAGCCGGAAGAGGGGCTCTCTGCCCTGTTAAAGACCCCAGACGCTGACCCCAAGATGTCTCTCGCGCCTGTGGGCTCGGCGGCAGCCTCTGTGGGGGTGACATCAGCTGGCGTGGCCCCGCCCACGGAAACCCAGGGGCTGCGGCTGGCGTGCTGCGAAGGGCTGGGCCCCCCAGCGTCTCTGGGGGAGTCTGGGCTGCCTCCAGTCCCTGTATCCGTGGCTGTCGTGGGTATGGCTTCTCCCTCCAGTCCTGCTGGGTGCCAGGAGGGGGATGGGGCAGTCCCCTTGGTCTCTGTCGCAAGCAAGGATGTGGCGGTGGCGGTGGCCTCGCGGTGGTCCTCGGTGGCACCGGCCTCCGTGGGGTCTGGTGTGAGCCCCAGTTTTGGGGCACGCAGCATGGCTATGACGGGGCGGTCCGGGGATGTGGCCGTGGGGGATACCCCCCAAGGAACTGTGCTGGGGTCTTCAGAGGGACTGGGAGCCAGGACCGTGGCCTCCGTGGGGGACCAGGACAGGCTGGGGGTGGCTGGTTTCCCGCTGGGGTCTGCAGATCCCTTTAACTTCAGGCCAGGGGCCCTGCTGGGGCTTGGGGTGCTGGCTGGGACCATGGTCGGGGGCCACAGCCAGGGCTGTGCGGGGCTCCTGCCACCACGGGAATCTGTAACAATGCCCACGAAAGTCATTTCGTGGCATAACTGTGTCTCGGCAGCTGCTCAGCTCCTGTGTCACCCTGAGATTCTAAGGCTGGGACTGGGGGCTCCCAGCTGCCGGGACTGGATGCTTCCTCCGCCCCTCCCCCTTGCCTGGGGCTAGCCCTCTGATCCCCCCGCCCGCCCCCAACCCCCATCGCCCCCACGCTCCCAGGCAGGCCCTCTGCCGCCCCCTAGACCTAGCTCACCAGCTTCAGGCGCATCAATTTCATTGGTCAGCACGACCCAGGGACTCTGGCTCCGGCCACTCCCCGGCGTCTCCGTGGCTTCCGTGGCCAAGGGAGGTTCCACGTGATTCCCAGCAGCCTCTGGGCTGAGGGGCTGGGCGCTGGCCTCGAGACCCCGCTCCAACCCTGGCTCCTGTTCCTGCTGCTGGAAGTGGCGCCCGTTCAACCCTTTAAAGCGTCCTCTCCTCCGTGGCGTGGGGCCCGTGGGGGCATCTGTGGGCGTGGACGCAGCAGGGCCTGCGCTGATGCCACCGGGGCTGGGGGCCACGGTGCCCAGCCACGCTGCCTCCGTGGGCCACGAGGCCAGAGTGGGGCTCCCATAGGTAGGGCTGGGGTTCTCCTGAGACTCCTGCTTCTCTACCACGAACAGGGGCTCTTCTTCCCCGCTGGACAGCAGGGGCTCCCGGGACTGAGGCACAGCCTCTTCCTCCTCCCCCAGGCTGGGTTCCAGATCTCGCACCGGGGGGCCTTCTGCCGACAGAATCTCCCCCTCGTCCCCAGAGGAGGGAGTCTCTGGGTCTCCATGATGTGGCGTGGTGTGATGAGCTGTGGGACAAAGTGGAAGAGGTTGGGTTAGGCTTAGGGACTGCCTGGGAAGTTCTCCCTGCAGTCTCCTCTACATCCCAGCCTGCTGCAGCACAAACTATCCTGGCTATCCCAAGAGCGAATGTCAGCCCCGATCCCGCCCCGAAGTGGGCCTGCCCAGGGCACACGGCCAATAGGCTTATGGGGGTGTCCCCAGAGCGGACATGCTCCACCCAGGGGCGGGTCTATCGCGGTTCTGAAGCCTCAAGACCTTAAATACAACAGTTTGATCAACGCGTGGCCTCATCTGGGGCTGTTTAACTGCCCACCAGTGCGAGGCTCCGGGGAAAAGACCAGCCGCAGGGGGAGTGGTCCTCACCGGGGGCGTGGCTGATCCACAAGCACGTTTTCACGTGTCTTCTGGAATGGACACACCCTCTCGGGGGCGTGGCCTCAAGTAGAGGGGCGTGGCAACCAGGAGGTCCGCCCCCCCGTGGGGGCGTGGCCTCAGCAAAGCCCCTGCACACCTCGGAAGCAGTAGGCGTCGAAGCGGGCGGCGGGCGCGGGGAAGCCGGTGCGGTTGGCGAAGCGGTAGACGGTGCGCACGCCCGGGGCTGGGCCCCCGCAGCGCCGGCGCGGCGTCTGGATCGGGTAGCGCACGCTGCCGTCCGCCAGCCAGCCGGGGTCGCACTGGTCCAGGCCCTCGTGCCAGGCCAGGTGCAGCTGTCCCACGGAGGCCAGCGCGGCGCCCTGGCGGCGACACTGGGCGCGCGCTCCGGCCAGGGTCAGGCGGCGGGCAGGGCCCACGTAGAAGACTTCACCTGCGGGGAGAAGGTGAGTGGGGCCAGGGTCCCCTGGGGCCGAGGAGGGGGCGTCTCTCTCCAGGTCGTCCCAGCAGGGGTCGTTACCTCTTAGGTTGCGCTAGCAGAAGGGGGCATTAGCCTGTTTTTACAAACCAGTCGAGTGGGGGACTTCGGAGAGGACAAGACGCGAGGTGGTGTGGGCTCAGAGGGTGGGAAGGGAGGGGTGGAGGCTCAGGGGAGGAGAGAGGCTCTGGTCTTGGCTGCAGGTTTAGATAAAGATGAGCCAGGAAAGCCGTAGAAGCGCTTAGAAGGGATGAGGGGTGGGGGTGGGAGAGGTTGGGCGCAGGGGCCCGGAAGTGCTAGACTTACCCCCCAGTTCTCGGGCAAAGCAATACACGTCGTAGAGTTCTTGGGGGTCTCGCCTCCCATAGCTCCGAACTCCCGGCTGGCTGCTACGGTCGCCATAGCAACCGGGCCGGGACTGAGTGATGGGGTACCTGACAACGCAAGGACAGAGTTAGGGCTCGTGTGCTCCTGGGGGCCCGAAGGGGCTTCTTTGCCCAGAGGCTAATCCCACCCCCGCCCCCCATACACCTGCTGCTCACCGGACGGTCCGGTCAGAGAGCCAGCCGGCGTCACAGTTGTCAAACCCATCCTCAAAGGCAGCCTGCAGGTGCCGCGGGGCCGCGATGCTGGCCGAGCTGAGACGGCAGGCCTCCTGGGCCTCGGCGAAGGTCAAGGCGTACCGGTCCCGGGCTGCCCGGTAATGGAACACGACGCCTGTGGGGAGAATGTCCGGGATGCTGGGGACCCCTTAGTCTGGAACCTTCTTTCTGGCAAGATGACCACCCCCTTCCCGCCGCCATCCGACGGGATCCTGACACGGGGTGGGGGGGGTAAGTGTGCCATGCCCCAATTTTGCAGATGGGGAAACTGATAACAAGTGGCCTCAGAGGGCTCAGATCTGCCAAACAAGACGCGAAAAGCGTTTATCAACATCTTGTCACCAAACTCTTTAAAACAACCCCTGTGGGGTGCAAACTGTTGAAAGCTTTACTTAATGTATACTAAACTGATCTTCTGTAAAAAGAAGAAGAAGAAGAAGAAGAAGAAGAAGAAGAAGAGAAGAAGAAGACGAAAAGAAAAGAAAGAAG